GCACGGCGGGCACGTGGAGCCCAGTCCTGCCAGGACCTTCTGGAGGACAGTGTGGAGCAGGCCCCAAGCTGTCCCAGCTCAGGGGAGAGAGCTGGGGCGTCTAGCCACCGATTCCCCACCTGCTCTGGGGAGAGGGACGCCTCCAGGGGCTTTGGCTCTGTAGGACCCCAGCCCGCCCCACAGGCCCCAGTCAGGGTCTCAGGTGTGTGCGGGGGCAGCCCGCAGCCTGTGCAGGTGAATCCGAGGCTGGGGGGCAGGGGGAGGCCCACTGCAGGGACTCCACCGACTGGTGGCTTTCTCCCCACTTCTGTCTCGCCCATCTCTCGCCTCGGCCTCTTGTATGCTGTCCTTCCTCAAAGTCCGTCATCCACACAGCGGCCAGAGCCTGCTTGCCCAACACAAACCGGTTCATGCCTCGCCCTCTTTTTAAACCTCGATGGCCTCCCCTCTAGAGCAAAATCCCGGTTCTTACGATGGCTACGGACGTCATTTTGAATTTCTGAGTGGACATATTCAAAAGGTCAGAGACACGTAGAAGTAATTTTAATAATGTGTTTTATTTACCTTGATAGATCTAAAATAATAGTATCAGTTGCACGTACATTACCAATGTTACACTTATTTATCAGCAAGTAAAAGAATTGTTTGTACCACCTGCCTGAAATCCACTTATGGCCCATTCATTTGGATTTTTTGGGGTTTTGGGGTTTTCTGTGCTTTTTTGTGTGTGTGTGTTTTATTTATTTTTTCTCATTGCAAAAAGGTGCTTTTATTAAAGCACGGGGACGGGACCGCTGAGCACAAAGAGCTGCACTGGGATTGTGAGGAGTGACTGAGTCTATACTTTTTAGGGAGTGGGGGTTAGGGATAGCTTCCGTCTCCAAGGAATTTGAGCATGTTAGAAGCACGGTCTCCAGGACCCTGGAGGGCTAAGGGCTAGCTATCGTTAAGATAGGGCTGCGTTTACTATTGTCTGTAAAACGCTAGTCGTGAACCCCTTCAGAGGGGGATCAGCAGGCCTAGTGTTTGCAAGGTGATTGCTAACCTGTGGGGGGGGGGATTGTTAACGGTTAGCAGAGGGAAGTCATGCTGAGGAGAGCAAAGCTGTCGTGGTCACTCGGTGAAGGACGTCCCTGAGGGAGCGGCAGGGCTGTTACCCTCTGAGAGCCTCGGCAGCTCTGCCTGGAGGGAGACTCGAGCTACAGCCCAGTCCGGTCCCTGCTCGGTTCTCCCCTCACCTCCCCCCTGAATAGCGTGGGCCCTTCAGTCTCTAAGGTTGCTGCGGGCAGAAGCGCCCACGTTCTGTAACTTCCTTGCTGAAGCAGGGCGCAGAGAGGTCCCTACCCCGGGGCCCTGCCGGTCACTGAGGATTTACTAGGAGTCCTGCAAGGCCGAGCCGCTGTGTGTGCAGGTGCTAAGGGACGGGAGTCTCCTCCGGTGCAGAGCGTCACCTGTGGGCCGGACCTGGTGGCCGTGAAGGCGTTTCGGCCCCAGGTGCAGAGACATTGGAAAAACCAGCAAAACAGGATGAGAAGAGCAAGGAGAAGGAGAAGCCCAAGGAAGAGTCCTTTGACGGTTGGCCGAAGTCCTGGGGCCCGCGCCTTTGGACCAGTCACAGGGCAAGGCTCAGCAGTCCCGGGGGGCAGGGCCCCGAGTGGCCGGCGCAGCCCTGAGAAGGGACCCTCGAGTCTGGCCCCCGGAACCTCTTCCAGCTCACTTCCTAGTTCTGTGGGCCTCCGCCTCTCCTCGGCCCCTGCTGTCCTTTCCCTTCCTGGGACGGGCCACTGCAGTTTTCTCTCAGTCTCCGCACTTGCCCCCGTGTGTCTTCCTGGAACCAGTCCCCAACTCCTCCCAGGTGTTTAAAGAGTCAGCTTCTCTTCTTCCTTTAACTTGCTCAGGTGTGAGCTTACGTGACCCCTGAGAGGGCTTCTCTGACACCCCGTGTGACGGGACAGCCCTAGGGGCTCCCACCTCACCAGGTCCCTGTGCTCAGGCCGCGCTCTTCCTCTGCCCCAGCACCTGTGATCCTTCTCCTCGCTTGTCCTTTGTCAGCCACTTCCCCCATGTACTGGCTGTCTTCAGGAAATAAGTGACATGCCTGTTTCATTCCTCCCTCCTGTCACTCTCTCCCCACCACCTGGGAGAGCGCCTCGCACACAGCAGGCGCTCAGTATTTGCAGAGGGAAGGCAGGGGCCAGGTGCTGCCCTCCTAAGGCTGGAGAAGAGAGAGGAGCTGGGCCTCTGGGCCAGACATCTGCAGGGACACCTGCGGCTGCCTGCCCCCCTTCCTTCTTCTCCTTTCCTCAGTCCTCCCTGGCTTGCCTCCTTCCCTCCCTCTGATCTCCTCCTACCCTCCTCCATCCCTGGGACTCGAGGGGGACCCTGTCAGTACTCGGGCAGGTGTGTCTCCCCCAGGTATGAGCCAAGCACCCCGAAATCCTCCGATTTCAGCTACCTCATCTGGTTTGGAACCTGGCCACTGTCCAGGCTGCCCATGGCCCAGAGGGTGTGCTCCCTCCCGACCTGGAGGTAGGCAGGGCCCGGAGAGCCTTATTAAGCCCGTTTTCACTTTCCAGCTCTACAGTGTTTCCAGTGTCAACGAATCAATGCCAGTGGGGTTTGCGAGACTGGGGAAAGTGTCTGCCAGGCTAAAGGCAACCAGCAGTGCTTTCTGAGGAAGGTCTATAAAGGTAGGTGGGCCTAAGAAGTCTCCTGGGCGACCTTTGCGTGAAGTTAGGTGCTAGCAGTGGGCGTTCAGGGTTGGGAGTGGGACCCCCATGGGACCAGAGGGAGGCGACTCTAGGACCCAGGGAACTGGGATCTTAGGAACCCTGGGAGTAACACCAACATAGGCAGGGGTTGATTTTATTTTTTTCGACTAAATTTGTGAATCTGTGTCATCTGGTTCTGGTACTCGGCTGTCAGCGGCTCTCAACTGGGCCAGTACCCGTAAGAGAAGAAGACAGCATCCTCTGTTAGCTCCTGGGGTGACAGGAAGGGCTGCTAAAATCCCACTGAGTAGAACTTGAGTGTGGTAGAGTTTTGGGAAACTGGAGGTGGAGGTAGGGGGACAGCAGTGGGGAGGGTGATTAAGGCAATTTCTATTCACCCCTTCCTGCCCTCTCCTGTGTGGGGAGGGACTGAATCCTAGGACACAGAGCCCCCAGAGCTATCCTACAAGGGCCCACTAGGGGGCCCTATCTCAAATATCTCAATCCTGGGAGGCATATACTCCTCTCTACCAGAGAGCAGGAGTCCTTGATGGAAAGTTCCATCTTCTCCTTGTTCCTTGATTAATTTTTTAAAAAGATTTTATTTATTTATTTGAGAGAGAGAGAATGAGAGAGAGAGAGCATGAGGGGGGTAGGGTCAGAGGGAGAAGCAGACTCCTTGCTGAGCAGGGAGCCCGATGCGGGACTCGATTCTGGGACTCCAGGATCATGACCTGAGCCGAAGGCAGTCGCTTAACCAACTGAGCCACCCAGGCGCCCCCCTTCATTAATTTGTTGATGCAATGACCCACCGATCCTTTCAGCAATATTGATTGAGCACTGCATGCCAAGATGTGCTAGGCCCCACAGCCATGGGTCTGCAATCCAGGCTCTGGGGTCTCACTTACCCTCTTCTCTGTCTCTCTGTAGATGCCATCCTTTCATATGGATATCAAGGTTGTAGCAGTGTGTGTTCCCCTATGACAATCTTTTATATGGATGTTGCTTTGGAGGATAAATGTTGCAATGACTCACCTTTCTGCAACAAGTTCTAAAGATGGAGCCCAGCGTTGCCCTGACCTGATGGATGAAGCTGATTGAACACACTTTTCAACTCTCAGGATCCTTACAACTATTGTGCACTGACTATGGGCTCCCTATAAGGAGAAGTCATAAGCTAGTTCTGTGCCAGGTCCAATCACCCTTTTCTCTCCCTCATTGTGAGATGCTACCGGGAGAGTCTTTAAAATCCAATTGGTGTGAGGAGTGGTGGGCATGGGTAGGTCCAAGCATGCCTTCTTCCTTTCAAGGCCCTAATCACGAGTCATGCTTATTTTCATTTTAAAAAGGCAGGGTTTGTGGGAGACTGTGGGTTCTGTCATTCTGGGTGTTGTGGAGGCAGCTAGCTGAAGGAAGAAGGAGAGTCCTCAGAAGCTGAAGAGCATAAGGAATGAGTTGGCTGTAAATGATGTATGAGTTGGAGGGGGCAAGCTGTAACAAAAATCTCTGAAATGTTGGTGTCTTAAAATAATAATGAAAAATAATAAAAAAAAGATTGCTAACCCACCTCACAGTTCATCGAGGTGGTGGTGATTATTTAGAGATCCCAGCTTCTTTCATGCCGCCATCTTTAACATAGTCTCCAAGCTCTCTACAAAAGGGGAAGTAAGCATGGAGAGACACGTGGGGACTTCTATGGCTGGAACTCAAAGTGTTGTGCATAATTTCTGCCTGCATTCCACTATTACTTGACCCCGAACAATTTGTAAAAAATGTAATCTTTAATCTGGTGTGCCTGAGAGAAAATTCAGATGCTCTGATGAACACAGTGGATGAAGCCTGGTTCCTTTCCCCACTCTGCCCCCCACTGTTCAGGCTCCTCAAACTGCACCCACATTTGACCTCTGTTACAAAGGAAAGAATGACCCAGCAAATGGGACTACAGAGCACCATACACTGATTAAACGTAAAACACATATGACTTGACCAGATATTCCACTCCCACCCTTTCAGCCTCCCCGACATGGAGGCTGGAGCCCAGCGTGCCTCACGAGCCTATCCGTGGGGTCTCAGAGCTCTCTTGCTGTGGGCCTCCCTGGGAACCCCTGTATTCCTGTCAGTGGTGTCATGTCCTCATTCTCCCCCAGCAGTCAGCCCTCAGGAGAACACTGGTCCCCCTGATTCCCCCTCACATGCTGTCCTGAGGGTGACCAGCAGCACTGGTGATAGTCCGTCCACACCAGAGACCTGCCCTGTCCACTCATCACTTTGTGGCAACAACGTCCCCACTTCTGTTCTGGCTCCTCTCCTCACAGGACTCTGTAGGGAGGAACAGCTTTGGGTCTCCTGAGTTTCTAGACTGGGAAAAGGCAGAGGAAGAAGAGGACATCCAATCAGCGTGTTGACACTAGCCTCATCCACACCTACACGTGGCGGTCACCATGGATGAGTAATCACAAATGGTGCTGCTACAGCATTTAAACAAAGAAGTATTTTGTACAGAAGTGACAGAAGAAAAGGGGTTTATACGTTCAGGGGCGACAAAATATGGAAAGGTAACTCTATGAAGAAAGGAATGGAAAGGCTACTTAGTACAGATTGTTATGGAGATGCCTCAGGGCTGGTGTCTAGAGCTGCCTCCGGTGACCAAGCTTCCACCTGCCCTCCCTGGCAGAAAAAAGGGCGGACAGAGAGTTTTCCTTGTATCTGCACCTTAGAAATGACTTTCAACTCAAAATGATCCTGTGTCAAATGACATATTTTTGGGGTGGCAGACTCTGAACCCTTGCAACTCAAAACCATCCATGAGGGCTGGACAGAGTCAGAAATCTCACTGCTATCTCCATGGCTTCCTTCATCATTAGGACCCCAGCATGTCTCCCAAACCGCCTTCTCCCAGGGCTCCTCTGCACCTGCAAATTATTCATGAGTTTTGATGCGGAGGATGCAGCTGAAGGCATTAGCCGTGCGCCCCAGTTTTGGTCCGGGTCAGCAGAGGACCCCGGACACAGAGGTTGGTTCAGTTACCTGGGCATCCTTCAATAGAAGCTGCACACACTCCGATGCTAACAGCACGCATTCTGGTGTGTCCTGGCCCTTCTTGGGAGACAGTTTTCTCATCCACTGGGAGCTTCATTTACTCATGAAGTTTTCCTCCTCAGAAAAAGATGGGTTGTGACTTGGGTTATCACCTAGTAATGGTCTCAGGGGGGCTAGAGCTGCCTCTGGATTCATGGGTCACACCCAGACTCACAACTTGCCACGGGATGGGTGGGAGGGTGGGTGTAGACACCCCTCCTCAAGGGCCAAACCATGTGACCCTTACAAGACTCTCTCCTCTGGTCTGAGTTAACAGTAAGAGTGGTGGACGCTTGACCAACTGGGCCTATGAATTCTCTTGCCTGGCAATTTCTTATTAGATGTGAGAAATTAATTTTCTCATATGGAGAATGACTTCACCAAAGCGAAGGGCCATTGATTCCAAACGTAGCCATTAGCAGCCCTCAACAAACTAATAGAAATGGAGAAAGAGTTTTAGGTGTTAACTCTGCCTTTATGTTCAGGGTTTCTGCTTCCTCAAAAAACCAAGAAGGACAAGGGAAGAAAATCCAAAAAATGGCCATGTGGCCACCCCCGTCCTGTTTGCGCTGCCTGACTCACACCTGAGACAGCTGGAGAGCTTGTCCAGAGGCCTGTCTTGGGCCTCCCTTAGGAGCCTTCAGGAGGTGTCCATATCTGCGTGTCCCTTGCGGGTCAGCATCCCAGGCTCCTCCAGCTTCGGCTGGGGGGATTCTGCTCTGCTCCGTCCTGAGGGCAGCAGGGGACCTTATCCCTGCCCCTGGCCGTCCTCACACGTGAGCTCAGTGACCTGAGAATTCAGGTGGGGCAGGCGGAGGAGTCTTGGCGCTTACACAGTCACAACATGCTGAGCAAGGCTGCCCCCTGCAGGCAGCCTCTGCGGGGAGGACACACGTTCAGCCTGGCCCCCTGTCCTCCTGTGGTGGGCGCAGGGCAGGCATCTGGCCCCATCGGGATTCAGGGGCTTCTCCTCCTTCCGGCGGCGGGGGTGGGGGGGAAGAGTGCAGTGGTGACCCAGGAGGCACAGTTCAATCTACGAGGTGATTTCGGGGTGCTTAGCTCATACCTGGGGGAGACACACCTGCCCGAGTACTGACAGGGTCCCCCTCGAGTCCCAGGGATGGAGGAGGGTAGGAGGAGATCAGAGGGAGGG